ACCCACACCCACACCCACACCCACACCCACACCCACACCCTAATTTTGTGTCAAAGCAGTTAACATTGACTAACGCAACTATTGGCACTTCCTAAACTATTCACATTTGATGAGAGAATACGAAAAGTATTCGTTATAATGGGTTTTCACTTATGTAAGAAATATTTCAACAGAATTAAATGGCAATGACAATTATTCATATGATCGATGACTTCTAAAATGGTGACTATTAATTTAGCATTCATTTCATATCAGTAAAATAGATGAATTCAATTGTCAGCAGACCTGGAAAAAAGTTATGCATTTAATATGTGATTATCGTTCTTTAATAACAGGCGATACATCTTTTAGCAAGGATAGAAATTAATGAGCAAATTGATTGGGTACTGATAATTCGTTTTTTATATGATTTTTAATCATCCTCGAAAATTGAAAACTGCATATTGATATAAATAAAATAACTGACAAGTATATCTGTGATATGGGTGATTTCATTTTCGTGCGATTGTTGAGCAGCTCAAACACACATGTTGTTTAATAAAAACTCAGTGAAATAAACGGTCCGAACTATTACAAGAATCATGACCAATCTATCATTGCATCATTTTTCAACGGTTGATGTGTTATCGACCTTTGTTTTATGGTGTATGGCGTCGCTGAACAGAAGTATTGGGGGCAAGCAGACATGAAAATGTTTGTTGGTTTACCATAGGATCATTGTTAGACAAATAACTCAAAACTTTGATCGCCTTGTTCGCGAAATACATGCACAAATTTCCCGTGAATGTTATTCAATAACTATGCGATTATAGATTACCACACTTATTTTCGATATTTATTTAGAAATGAATAAAAATAAGTGAATAAAACAATTGGTAAATAAATATTGATTTATTATAACATCTGTAATCTCTTGCACGGACTGCATGTTTCAGTAGCGAATTCGAACTGCATATGAATAAAACATCGATTTTGAGTATTCATGAGCTGTACGATCTACAGTTGACACTTTTGGTAAATAATTTTTTTTTTCAAAATGAAAGTGTTACCGGAACGTACAATTGCTGAATAAGATTCATTTAGAATGCAATCTCCAATAAATTTAACTGAACATCTTCTTTCATGGAAGTATAGAAAGAAATATACGAATCAAATCGTTCGAATCATCCTACTGTTATATTAACTAGAAGAAAGTCGCCAAGTTGACTTGTATGCATCGATGAGATGAATGTAAATGAACACAGTTATGCTCTAAATAATTCATATACTACATATTCATGGTGTGCTCACTTGGCTTCATCGTTAAAAGTTAGATAAAATCATATATAAATAAAACAATTACAATAAAATTGTTCATTTATACCATAGAATGTTTATTATATCAAAAAGTTGAGAGCTATGTTTTCAAGTAGTTGCCATAGCAGAACGCAACTTCAATTATTTTTATTCATTGTTCACGATATGTTCCACTAAGTGACTTAGTGTCAATCAACGATGTGAACGGAAATAAAAATAATTGAATCAAGATCTTTTGAAAGACGTCATCATCATTCTGTTGTCATATGGTTAATCAAAACTTATGATTGGTACAATTAGTTAGATTTAAAATGAACAAGATAATTGAAAATAACAATATTCATTATTATTCATCTGCCATGTGACATGAAATCATGTCACTAACTATAAACGCACTGTAACAAGATTTATTGCATTTATGCACAGAAAATTAATCCAGACTATGTGACTACTCTGCAATCGTTGGGATAATGATAAAGTCACAAGTATCACTGGATTGTCATAACAATAGTTTATCATAATCTTGCAACCTGTTATTACAATACACTGTCTATGTTATGTTCAATCAGCTGACCGAGTCACAATGTTTGCTTCGAAGTGAACAAAAGAGGTGAACAGAAGTGTAGTTAATAATGTTCGTTGTCTATCTAATGTTTGATCAGTTGACCGAGTCGCAACGTTTGCTTCGAAGTGAGCAAAAGAGGTGAGCAGAAGTCTTATGAGTAATGTTACTTGTCCATGCGATGTTCGATCAGCTAACCGAGTCGCAACGTTTGATTGGAAATCAGCAAAAGAGGTGAACAGAACTCTTATGAGTAATGTTCCTTGTCCATGTGCTATTCGATCAGCTGACCGAGTCGCAAAGTTTGCTTCGAAGTGAGAAAAAGAGGTGAACAGAAGTCTTATGAGTGATGCTCCTTGTCCATGTGATATTCAATCAGCTGACCCAGTCGCAAAGTTGGCTTCAAAGTGAGCAACAGAGGTGAACACAAGTCTACTGAGTAATGTTCTTTATTCATGTGATGTTCGATCAGCTGACCGAGTCGCAACCTTTGATTCGAAGTGAGCAAAAGAGGTGAACAGATGTATCGTTAATAATGTTCCTTGTTCATGTGATGTTCGAGTAGCTGACCGAGTCGCAACGTTTGCTTCGAAGTGAGGAAAAAAGGGGAACAGAAGTATGATGAAAAATGTTTCTTGTTCATGTGATGTTCGATCAGCTGACCGAGTCACAATGTTTGCTTCGAAGTGAGCAAAAGAGGTGAACAAAAGTCTTCTGAGTAATATTCCTTGTTCATGTGATGTTCAATCAGCTGACCGAGTCACAATGTTTCCCTAGAAGTGAGTAAAAGAATTGAACAGATCTATCGTTAATAATGTTCCATGTTGATGTGATGTTCAATCAGCTGACCGAGTCGCAACGCTTTCTTCGAAGTGAGCAAAAGAATTAAACAGACGTATCGTTAGTAATGTTTCTTGTTGATGTGATGTTCGATCAGCTGACCGAGTCACAATGTTTGCTTCGAAGGGAGCAAAAGAGGTGAAGAGAGGTATGTTGCATAATGTTCCTTGTGTATGTGATGCTCGATCAGCGATCGAGTCGCAACGTTTGATTGGAAGGGAGCAAAAGAGGTGAAGAGAGGTATGTTGTATAATATTCCTTCTCCATATGATGTTCGAGCAGCTGACAGAGTCGCAACGTTTGCTTGGAAGTGAGCAAGAGAGGAGAACAGAAGTATCGTTAATAATCTTCCTTGTCCATGTGATGTTCGATGAGCTGATCGAGTAGCAACGTTCGCTTCGAAGTGAGCAAAAGAGATGAACAGAAGTATCTTGTATAATTTTCCTTCTTCATGTGATGTTCGATCAGCTGACCGAGTGGTAACGTTTGCTTTGAGGTGAGCAGAAGAGGTGAACATAAGTATCCTGTATAATGTTCCTTCTCCATATGATGTTTGATCAGCTGACCGAGTCGCAACGTTTGCTTTGAAGTGAGCAAAAGAGATGAACAAAAGTATCTTGTATAATGTTCCTTGTCCATGTGATGTTCGATCAGCTGACCGGGTCACAACGTTTGCTTTAAAGTGAGGAAAATTACTGAGGAAGGAGATCATGTTTGTCTTTGTGAGAAACACTAGTGTGATACTTAATGTTTTTTTTTGTCTACATGAGCGAGTGTGGTTGAAAATTTTGGGTTTTTCTTAATAAATAATATTGAAGAATAGGGCCTGCCAGATTTACTGTGGGTGTGGGTGGTGTGTGTCAGTGTGCGTGTGAGTGTGAATTGGTGTGGGGTGTTGGAGTACTGTATCTCTTCACCTGCACCCACACCCACACCCACCCACACCCACATCCACATCCACCCACACCCACCCACACATACCCACACCCACACCCACATCCACCCACCCTCACCGCACACACACCCACACCCTCATTGATAGATAATTTTCTTTAAAAAATGCAGATTTAACAAACATCCTAAGTTAAATATCTGTTTTTTTTAATAGAATACCTAACTTGAGTGCTGTCAAACTTCATTTTATTTATGGAAAACGATGGATTGATGTAGATACTATGGATGAAGATCGAGGTGATACAGCTCTACATATCACTTCTCGTATTACGAGCAGTAATAATAATCAAGTCTTGACAATTATTGAAATGCTTCTCAATGCTGGTGCTCATATTGATTTTATTAATTATTACGGAAGAACACCATTGTATGAAGCAGTAATTACTGATATACGAATTCTTTTACAATCAAAGCAAACACCACCCCAACTGAAATATGTTTGTGCACCTCTTATCAGAGATTGCCAAATGTTCAACAACTACTTTTGGTCTGAGCATGTTTCATTGTCCAACTTCGTACAATTTCATGGCATTCCAATGCTCAACAATTTTATTTCAGAAAAAATTAATAATACGTCATATTTATCTGATGATCATCAAAGTTCAGATGACTTTGATTGGTTTGAATGACTTCAGATATGAAATCGGAGTTGAATTCTTTTCTAATCTTGAATCATTTTTTCTATATCAATATTTTCGTTCGTTTTATTTGGTACGAATCAATTATATTTTTAAAATTCGACGAAAATCAAAATTTCTCCTAAATTTCATCTATAATGCGAAAAACATGTCAGAAGAAATTCATCTACAGAAAAAAGAACAAGAAATAGACACCTACATTCAAGAGAAAACTTTTTGGTGGCAACTGGCATGATGATAAATAAATTTTTTTTACAGCACCGTGTGAATATCATTCTATGATGTATAAAACATTTTAATTGTTAAGAAACGAAGTTAAGAATATCATCGTCTTAAATTGTAGTGATCATCTTGGTTTTGATTGAGACCTTTTCTATCTTTTGTCCTAATCATCTCCAATCACTTAAAATCAAGTCATTCCTCGCATTATTTTTCTTGTTCTACTCATGCATCCAACTTTGTACACTAAGACATATGTACATATTTGCGTCCTTCGTTTGTTGCTTATTCACTATTCTTAAGTATTGCATTATCCCCGTGAAAATTCTACTCTGTTCTTGATGCATATGAAGGAATATTGTCTAATCAACCGTCATATTTATTTAGCCGACAAAAATCAATACATGCCTCTCTGTAGCTAACTTTTTTTATCGATGTCTTTTTAAAACTAACAGATAAAGTCACAATTATGTTGATAGTCATATGAATCTGAAAATTGCGAAAGGTTTGACACTAAGCGATGAAATCAGCATTAAAAATATCTCAAAGAAGTCGCAAAATTTTCTAAGGTATAATATTTTATTAGAATAAGAAAATTAATAAAATAATGAAGAAATAAAGCTACATAGTTCAGAATATAATAGTGTGCTAATTAGTGGAGAATGTTTATTGATATTGTTAATTATTCGTGGCGACATTCGATTTTCGTTGTCAACTTTTGTTCGTGTCACATTTCCTTCGAAAAAAACAAAAAATATTGAATCAGTTCGAAGTCAAACAAAACTGAAAATGATAAACTTAAAGATGAACATAGAAATGACATACTTAGTTTATTTATTAATATTCTATTCAAACATTCTTTTCATTTCAAGAATATGATAATTCACATACAATAATTATCGAAGATTACTGCTCAAAAGAACAATACATAACAAAACTCTATTAAAATTGATTGCTCGATAAAAATCAAAGATTTCGACTTGACATTCTGCTCTAGAAACGTATCACAATTGAACAATTTTTATGAAAATTCTATTCAAATATTTCGACAGTTGTAAAATAAAAACAATTACAGATAATCAATTAATCAATGTATAGTGAGAAATAAATGGTTCCTACTAAGACTTAGTTTAAATATTTTATCTATTCGAAATAAAGTTTTCTAATTGAACATATGGTCAATGAACATATAACAAAAGAAATATTCTTATAAAAATTTGATTCATCTATTGTGCTTCATTTCACATCAAAATTCATAATCAATAGTATGATCAAGAAGCACATCAAAAATCAATAAGTCATATAAAAGTTCTCTTCATGTAGAATGTGTCATGCGCAATAAAGTTTTATAATTGAAAATATACTAAAAAAAACACATGACAGAAGAATGATTTATATAAAAGTTGTATTTAACTATGTTGACGAATCCTAAATTGAATATAAATAATTATAGAATTGGTGAACATATAATAGATGAAATATTCCGATCAGAAATCTGTTCATATATTTGTAGTCTATATGAAATAAGGACTTAGAATTGGTTGTAGCATCAAAAAAACATACAACAAATGAATAGGTCTTATCAAGATTGTATTCAAATATTTTATTCAATTCGCATAAGAAACATAAAGTAAATGATAAAATCGACGAAAACATGGCAAGTTCATAAAACATACCATGATCTGATTCAAACTTTTTTTTAAATTGAAAGTAAAGATATTATGCTTTTTAATAGATAAAGAAAACACACGATAACTGAAATACACAGACGAAGATTTAATTCATATATGACATCAAATTCTAATCGGACGTCTGCAGCTCATCAGACGAACAACAAATACATCAAAAATCAATAATTCAAATAAATGTTCTATTCATATATAGTATCTAATTCGTACTAAAGATTTGTTATCAATAACATCAACAAAGCAGAGATGTCCATCGGGGCTCAAAATCTACCGCTGCCGCACCGCAACCAAAATAGAATAAAGCTACCGCGCCGCTCCCGCGACGCGATGACCTGTTAAAAAAAGCTACCGAGCCGCTGCCGCGATGATATTCGAAAAAATTTTTTGATTTTGAAGGCTGTGACTGGTTTGAAATAGAACTGATGCCGCTAATCGATCAGATTCGTTAAGTCTTACAGTATAGGAGACCCAAACACGCAGATTCTGTGCAAATTTACGAATTTTTGAAATTTTTTCCTAAAAAAGCTAACGCCGCCGCGCCGCTGCCGCGACGGTAAAATGAAAATCTCTCCCGCGCCGCTGCCACGCCGCGATAGTTTTTGGGAAAAATCTACCGCTGCCGCGCCGCCACCGCCATGGCGGCAGCGGCGCGGCAGCGGTAGCGGCAGCAGCAGCGCCGCGATGGACATCTCTGCAACAAAGAGTACATTTAAAAATAATAAATGATATGAAAGCTCTTTTCAAATATTTAGCTCTATTGAAATTTAACATTTAGGTCGGATTATAAAACGAAACAACACACAGTAGAAGTATAAATTTTAGGATGAGTCAATTCATCTATTGGTCTCAATTTGATCCAAAAATTTGTATCAAACTATACAATGAACGAATACAAAATAAACATTGAATTCTTATCAAGACTTCATTCATACATTTCAGTAGATTCCAAAGAACAGTTGTAAGTTTATAATAAGATCAATAAACATATGACGAATGAATAATTTATACCAATGATCTATTCTAATATTTTCCTCAATTCAAAATAAGATTTTCAAGTAAATTATAATATATTGCGCAACTCGCGATAGATTTATAGTTTATAGGAAGATTCTGTTCAATCAATTCTATAAAATAAATATAAGAGATTTCAAACTGATTACACAATTCAAGGATCCAAGATAAATGGATAACTTTTAGGAAACATCTGTTTGGAAATTGAGTCCGACTCGAAGACAAAATATTAGAAATTTTTTTCATAATCAACGGAGATATTTCAAATGAACAATTCATAGCATAACTATAGTCAAATGTTGTATTTAAATTGAAATAATGATGTACAAAGGGTTACAATATATACAAACATGGAACAAATGAATTATTCATAATACAAATCCAATCATAAAATCTACTCAATTTAAAGTCATATGTTTGAAGATTATTACATATATGATGAACATACAATGACTGAATAATTGTAACGAAACTTTGATTTATATATTTTCTTCAATTGAAATCAAATATTTGTATTTAATGAAATCAATGATCAATTATTTAATAAATGAAAGACTTAAAGTAAGATATTTTTAAAATAATTTCCTTTACTTAAAACAAATTTTTGAGTAAATTCAATCAAGAAATTGTACGTAATTATTGGATAATTTAAACGAATATTTTATTCATATATTATATTTAAATCAATTGCATGATTCGAATATTTATTAGAAATCGATGAAAATCTTATATATGAATAATTATACAATGATAATATTCAAATATTCTATACGATTGAAAAGAAAAATTTGTAGTTTTACGAATAATTCATCATCAATTGGCAAGTAAAGGTACTATAACATTATTTAATTCGAGTATTCTGATCGATTGGGAATCATGAGTTGCCAGTTGTTTACAGAATTGATAAAAACATGACAAATCAATAACATTAATGATGATTATATTCATATATTCTATTCTTTTTGAAGTGTTAATTTGTAATCAACAATCTGATCAATTTAAATAAGATAAATGAAAATTTCAAAGCAAGACCTTATTCGAAAATTTTAATAAATTCAAATGTATGTTTTCATTATATTTCATAAACAACAAATATAAAACAAATAAACAAATCATACCATAATACTCTTCATATATTCTTCTTCCCTGAAAGTAAAGATTTGTCATTTGATTTTCAATTAGAAAACATCAAAGTCAATGAATAAATAATAGTAAAATATGATTCAAATGTTTTTTCTTAAACTTCAATAAATATTCAATACATTATAGTAACAATGAAAATAAAAAATTAGTGAATGACTCAAACGAAGATATAATTCAAAAACTCTCTAAGTAAATAGATAACATATGATTTTGATCAAATTAATATTCGAACAGATGATAAGTGAATAATTAATATCAAGATTGTTTTCGAATATTTTTCATCTATTTCCTGTACAGATAGTAATTCTATTTTATTATCCACAAATACACAAAACATGAATAACTTAAACGAAAATTCTATTCAAATTTAATATTCGACCTCAATTAAAACTATCGTGATGAGTACATAATCAATATATATGTACTGAAAAATGAATGATTCATACCATGAATTTAATCGGATATTTGGCACAATTTAAACCAAAAATTTCCTCTTGATTAAGTACCAAAGATGAGTACATGATAAATGATTAACTTGTATCACGAGTCTCTTTAAATATTTGGTCAAGCTCAAAATAAGGTATTAAAGTTTATTCAACCATTGATGAACATACAACAAATGAATAATTCATACAATGAGTTTGTTCAAATATTTTACTATATCAGAAACAAAAATTCCTAATTTAATTCTATGAAAGGTTAATGTGCAGAATAATTGACTAATTCACAATAAGGTACTATTTACATTTTACATTGTATTGCAAGCTAAGCATTGAACTTGATCATCTAATCAACTAACTCAAAACAAATAAATAATTTATATCATACTTGAGTTAAAAAAGCTGTTAGCGCAATCCCTTGTGGGATTAAAAATGTGAAACACGATGGATCTATTGCTACTAATTAAATGGAAATCGTTTTGTTCCATTT